GTAGTAGGTTTCAAGTGCTCAGGCCGGCTTCCAGGTTTTCAAACAGTATCATACAGCACATCTTCCTCTTCGTCTAAACGTGCTGAATCCGACGCGCTGCTTCAAAATGCTCTACGACCAATACAGCGGCGTCAGGACGTTGCCAAAGTGTGTCAAGCGGCTTCTCGGGGGGGAAAAGCTGGGACTCCAGGGCGCCCTTCTCTCATGGACAAACCGCACGAGAGGGTGGGGTGGGGCTCTTTGTATTTTGATTTGCACGTCGCGAAGTTTCGAAATTATTTGACGGGACGGTTTGTGGGCTCAGCATGCGGGCAACAAAAACGCAAATTGTTTTATAGCCAGCCGCCCCGTGCACGCGTCGCTAAATCAATGGGAATACTACGCTGCGCAGCCCTCACATTTGCATATGATGGTCCCCCTCCTCTCCCGGCAGGACCGCCGTGAGGGTCGTCGCCCCCGGGCCCCCGGGGTGGCAGCGCAAAGCCCTCGCAGCGAATATAATGGAGGGAACGTGTGGTAAATTACAGAGTGATCGAGAGGGATCGCTGCTCGGCGTTATTAGCAAAGGCATTCATTTTCATTTCTTCGCGTTTATTCTATATCGTCGCGACACATTCTTTTTGATACAACTCGTTCAGTCGTCTCGGTAGGTGGCCACCATGCTTGTTTTATTTTTATTTTTTCGCATACGAGGTGGATTACATGCGACTGCGCCATCGTCATGTCGGTAACCGCCACTTAGACGCGGTCCTCACGACCTGGACACGCGACGCATTACGCGCGATGACTTAGGCCCCTCGCCGCGCTGCGACGCGCCTGTTGCCGAGACGAGGCTCAAAAGTGAGCAGCCCAGAGGGGGAGGTCCGCCCAGCCTGCCCTGCCCTTCCCTCGGACCTCCCGCCCACAGACTCTCATGGACCTCCCCCAGCCGAGCCCAGCCCGGTCGAGACCAAATTTAATTTTAAATCTACAAGTCGTAAAACAACGCACTGACTGGCATTCTTCTAACAATTTGGATCTCGAAATTTTATTTTGATACAATTTAATCGTGCGACGTAGCTATCGGCAAACTGCGAAAGGCAGGCTATAGAAGTGGTCATAAAAGGTGTTGTGAACGTGCTTGCACTGTTTGCACGACGTCTTCCCAAACATTTGTGACAGGTGCGCACTTACGTTTTGAAAGTCTGCTCGAACTGTTTCAGCTCCTGGCGAGAGAACTCGGCGAACACGTTCACTTTGAGCTTGGGCTTGACCTCCTTGCCCTCCTCCAGCGCGTCGTTGATGGACTGCCTGCGCTGCAGCACGCTGCTCAGCTCCTGGTCGGCCGGCATGGCGCACGCGTCGGTGTGGATGAAAACGGTTTTAAAAACAAACAGTAAAGCGACACACACGCGCGTGTGTGTGTGTCTTGTCACGTGGGGGAGCGTGCGCGGGGGCGGGCGGCGAGCCTACAGGCGTGCCGGCTGACAGCTGCGGGAGGGCTAAGGGGCTCGGGCGCGAGCGAGGAGAGCGGTGCGACCAGACGGGGCAGCGCGGGAACACTGACTGAGCGGAGCGGCGGCGCTAGCAGACGACGCGAGCGAGCCGAGGCGCGCGCAGTGTGACGTCACGCCGCTGGAGGGGCGGCCGGCCTGGCCGCGCTGCGCCGATCCGTCGGTGGCCCGACACCACACTACATTCGGTTGGGGGGGGAGGGAG